CTGGTCTGGCTACAAACAGATGTCTCCTGGGGTGGAGGGCAGGCCCTGACTATTCCTGAGAGGAGCCCTGACCCCTAACCTCCCAGGGGAGGGTGGCAGGCTGATGCCCACCGTCAGGCTGGTCCTGGTCTCATTGACTACAGGCACCTCTGGGGGCAGAGCCACCCTTCCCACTCCTGCTTCAAAACATCTCTGAACAGAACCTCTCACAGATCTGTGAGGGGCTGCCGTCCATATACACACCCAGGGCAGGCCAGGCAGCATCTCCCATTCCCATCACAGGGATTGACTCAGGCTGATCCAAATGAGCCTCATTCTTGGGACTGTTGCTGGGACACTGAAGGAGGAGCTTGCTTCCCTTTGGGGTTGCTGAGCTGTGGTAACAGAGCCTGGAACTCTAGGTGGCAAGGGGACGTTTGCGAAGAGTGGAGAGAAACTATTTGAGTGGGACGTCAACACGAAGAAAATAAAACCAAGAGATGGAGAAACATCAGATTCAGGTGAATCCCTGGATACAGCCATGCCTGAAATCCATAGACTTTTATTACAAGAGACTATAAATTTCCTTTTTGGCTTAAGCCAGTTTAATTTGACTTGCAACTAAAAGATCTGGCAAGAGGAGCTAGATAATAATCATTGCTCAGCCTACCCCATAGCATCAGATTAGACAACAGATATGAAAGCTCCGGGCTCCCGTAAGGGACTGGTAGTATTATGACCTTTGGCACCAAGAAGATGAGGCTGGGGTCTGGGTTTGAATCTCATTTCTATCACTTACTAGATCTTGGGGGCCTTCATCTCTCTGATCCTTGATTTATTTACCTGTAAAATGGGATGATAATATTTCTCTTATAAAATACTTGGCATGGTACTTATTATGTGCCAAGTGATTGATACAATGTAGTAGTTATTTAACAACAACAACAAATGATAATAGTGAATGTGGTGACTAATATACAGTGAAACCTCTGAGAGCCGGAACCCGATGAGACTGCCTTGTTTTTCCAGGTTTTGCAAGTTTTCTGCCTTTGACAGGGTGCAGTCTTACCACTTCTCTGTCGCCCATTTTAGTGGAAAATATTTGCATTTTCCTTGTCTGACAGGCTTCCACCTTACACAGGTTCCAGCTTTCACAGGTTTTCCTGTAATAATCATAATACAAGGAGTCATCGTAGTGAGTGTGACAGCTACCAAGAATTGTGACTCCAGCCTTGCAGGGCGGCGCAGGAGCTAATGTGGCTGGGAGGTGCTGGGAAACCTGGCTTCTCCCAGGCCCTCCTCACTCAGTCCCTAGCAATGCTGCATTTGGCCAAACTGGCACCAGGTCTGTGGCACCTCCTTCCGCCACAGCTGCCACTGTGGGCACTTTATGAGAAGTCAGTTTGTTTGCCTTCCAGACCAATGAACCCGGGTGTTCTAGACCTACAGCAGGGGTGAAGCCAGAGCCTGGGGGTGGGGAAGGGGGGAAGAGGGGACACTGGCAGGTCACAGCAGGGCTCTGCAGGGTCAAGTGTCTGTACTCCATTTTTCTTTATCAGCAGCTCCCTGATAACTCCTTGAGGAACCATGTTGTCGCTGTCGTCGAGTCGATTCCGACTCATAGCGACCCTATAAGACACAGAACTGCCCCATAGGGTGGCCAGCTTTAGCAAGTAAAAATATAGGATGCTCAGTTAGATTTGAATTTCAGATAAGCATACGATCAGCTTTTAGTCTCTTATGTCCCAAATAAGGAGCTCGGGTGGCACAAGCAGTTTGCGATCGGCTGCTAACCTAAAGGTTGGCGATTCAAGCCCACCCAGCAGCTCCGAGGAAGAAAGTCCTGGCAATCTGCTTCCATAAAGATTACAGCCAAGAAAACCATATGGAGCAGCTCTATCCTGTAACACATGGGGTCGCCATGAGTCGAGGGCCTATTTGATAGCAGCTAACAACATGTCCCAGATATTACATGGATGTACTTATAATAAAAAATCATTCACGGTTTATCTGAAATTCACATTTGATTAGGCATCTTGTATTTTATCTGGACTTGCAGGTGGCCATGTTTTGCTACAAGGTGAGAGAGCCTGCCTGGGAAGGCACAGGAAGACCGGGGCATTGTTTGAGCTGCTTGAGAGTATTTTGCTTAAGCTCTTTGGGCTGCTAGATAAAACCCCAGATGCCTAGTTAAATCTGGATTTCAGGTGAACTAGTACTGATTTTTTATTCAGTATTTTTTCTCTCTCTCCTTTCAATCAAAAGAGGTTGGGTGGCACTGGAAAAGTTAGAAGCACACAGCTTCAGGGACAACTTGAAAGGAACTTTAAAAATCACCACAGTGGGCTGACCCACTTCCAGCCCTTCCCTCGCCAAGGCCGCGCTCACAGCCAGCATGGATGCCCTTCCCCCCCCAGACACGGGTTAGGGCACGGCGGCTGCCCCGCCCAGCAAAGAACAGAGCTCAACTCAGTGTTTTCTGCTTTTATTTTTTAGAACAGAACATGTGCCAGCTGGTAGGGCCCTGTGCCTGATGCTCCCCCTGTCCTCCCTGAGCCTGTTCACAGAGGTCAGCCAAGGTCAGGAAGGCAGAGACAGCATGCAGGCCCACCTCTCCCTCTCGGGGTAGATGGTGACTGGCACCGGAAGGAAGTGGCCTGTCCTCACAGGAGGGAGTTCTGGGGTCTCTGGACCCTGGCTGGGGACATCCCAGGTTGAGGACCAGGGCAGGCTGGGGATGTGGGTAGGAAGCAAGTGACAATACAATTCCCATACCCTGTCCCGGCACCGTGACCCCGTGGAGCCTTGGCTCTGTGGTAGGTGAGCAAAGGGACAAGGCTCTGGGCTTGGACATCTACTGTCCCCACCTTGGAGAAGGCACCACAAAAATGGGCAATGGTCTTGGCTTCTCAGGCCTGAGTCCTTGAGCTTCCCGGGATGGGCAGGGGCAGGGTCTAGAGCTTCTCAGGCCTGAGTCCTTGAGCTTCCCGGGATGGGCAGGGGCAGGGTCTAGATGACATCACCCTCACTGTCGGACTCGATGACGTCCAGTGGCTGCAGGCGCAGGGAGTCATAGTTGGGGGGTGGGGTGCCTGGGACGGGCAACGTCTGCCCATCAGCATAGGCCCCAGTGTCAGGGCTGTGGTCCACCATGTCGGGCTGGAAGCCGAAGTTGGTGTGGGCCTCCACCAGCTCGGCCACGGTGGGTGGCGGGCCGGCGTAGCGAGCCTGAGCCTGCCTCTGTCGTAGGCTCTTGGAGAAGGCCACCAGTTTGATGATGGTGATCCACACGAAGTCGATGAGGATCTCACCAAACTCGATGAGACACAGCACTGAGCCCCCCATCCAGAAGCCAAACTGGCCGCCCAGGTTGGAGAGCAGCCAGACGATCTGTGGGGAGAGGAGGCTGAGGCCCGGCAGGGGCTGGGCCAGGCACAGATTCCCTAGAGCCCAGCCTAAGGTTCCTGGGAGGTGGGTTGTTGGGTGTGAAGGGTAAAAATGGTGATCAGTTCAGCCCAGGGAAATAAGTTGGGATTGCTAGGGACCTCCCTACTTCCCCTGTTGGATCCAGGACCCTCCCCACCCTTAGGGCAACAAAGGAGCGTAGGGCTGTGGCCTCAGGAGTCTTCAAACTCACGTTGTTAGCTGGTGACTCCTGGATGGTGCGATCGTTGAATTCTTGGAAGTAAATGTTGAGCTTGACAACTCCTTTCCTACAGGAAGCAGCCAGAGGGCTGAGACTATGGCCTCCCCCTCCCCCGAGACAAACACGCAGGAAAGGCAGTCCAGGGGCCTCCCCAGCCCTCCTCTGGCCTGAGCTTCTCACAGCCACTTTCACGAGTGGTGACATCCAAGCAAGACCCTAAAGTGCTGCCGTTCCCAGCCTCCTCTGGGCCTTGGGACCACAAAGGGTGTCTCTGCCCGGCACCCATCTGTGGGCCCCTTTCTCAACCTCATCCCGACCAGTTTCCTAAAAGCTACTGTAGGGTAGAGGTCCTAGTTTTACCCTTAGTAAGGTGGTCTTTGTCTTTGTCTCTGAAGAAATAACCCTTGAAGTAATTGGAGTGCCTTGATCAGGGACTTCCTGGCCATACCTGATAATCTGTGTTAGCGAGTGGGGACTGGCCAGAAAAGAAGATTCACCTTGGAGGCTGATAACAAGTAGCCTCTGGAGGCATGATTAGCCTGTCATGCAAGACTAGCTGATAAAAGCTCTAAACTTGGACGCTCAGAGAGCTTCCTGGTTGGCAAAAACATCTGCTCTTGGGAAGGTAGTGCATCCCTTGGGACATGGAAGCTCCACGTTGGGAACTCTCCCAGACCTAGCCCTATGCATCTCTTTGTTGTATCTTTTTTGGCTATAATAAATCTGTACTTGTAAGCATGGTAATACAAAAAAAAAAAACAAACCCACTGCCCTTGAGTCTATTCCAACTAATAGTGACCCTATAGGACAAAGTAGAACCTCCCCATAGGGTTTCCAAGGAGTGGCTGGTGGATTCAAACTGCTGAGCTTTTGGTTAGCAGCCGTAGCTCTTAACCACTGCACCACCAGGGCTCCACCAAGTGTGGTATACTCTGTGAGTTCTGTGAGTCCTTCTAGTGAATTATGAAGCCAAGGGGGTAGGAGGAGCCAGCAGGTCAGAAAGTAAGGGTGTCATGTGGACTCCCGAGCTTGCAGCTGGCATCTTGAAGGAATAGTGAGAAACCAGCCCTAAATTTGTGGTCAGCAGGTCAGAACACTGGGGTGTTGTATGGACTCCCCAAATTGGCAGCCAGTGTGTGACTGTTCGGCAGTCTGAAGGATGGTGTGCTTTTCACTTTTGAGCACTGACCTAGCTTCAGGTGGCTACAGTCAGAGAGTGTGTTAAGAGGGCAGCTGGTGATGAGGATGGAGAAGTGAGGATGTGAAGAGTAGATCAATCTCCATGTTCTGGGTACTGGATTCATGCTGATCCTTACCATGCAACTCTGGCCTGAGATAGCCCCAAGGATCAGCTCTAAGCTCCCCAACCCCCAGCCTATGTGCAGCAGACTTCTAAGCCTTGCACCTCTGTCGGGGGCATGGGGTGGAGAAGGGTGGTCAAGTGGGCTCCTCTGTTACACCTAATGGTCCCCTAGAAAGGCTATGTTGTCATGCCTCCAGGCCTTTGCCCAAGCTATGTCTTCTTCTTTGACATATTTGCTTGTCCTTATTTGTCTGAATAGTTCCTACTCCTCCTTGGAGAGTCAGCTCAAGTGTTGTCTTCCTATACAGACGTCCGTTACCTCTCAGGCAGAGAGAGATCCTCCCCTGAGGGTTTTGTACAGTCTTTCATCACTTGTTTGCCTGTCTCTGTCCTCTCTAAACTCCAGCTTCCTGATGCTGTGGGCCTTGTGTCTTCATGTGAATGAATGGAGAGATGGAGAGGTAGGTGAATGGAAGGATGGATGATAGAGGGATAGAGGAATGAATGGATGGAGGGATGGGTAAGTGGGTGAGTGCATAGATGGATGGGTAGATGAATGGAAGGACAGATGAAAGAGGGTTGGATGGGTGGAGGGATGGTTGATGGAGGGATGGAGGCATTAATGGCTGAGTGGATAGATGGTTGGGTGGAGGGATGGAAGGATGGATGAAAGAGGGATGAATGGGTGGATGGATAGGTGACAGAATGGGAGAACAGGTTGTCTTTTAGGAAGTGGTAGACTCTGAATCCCTTGGCTGCCTCTTACTCCCAGTCCTCCCTCCTCCAGGCTTGCGTCTGGTTCTGATCAGTGGGAGAAGGTTTCTAAGTAGCTGCCCTATGGCCAAATCCCTCCCCTGAGGCTCTGGTTCCTCCCTGTCTCTGCCTTCCCCAGCCCTGCCCACACTCCAGGCTCACCTGCTTATGGTGATATTATCACTTTGGTCCCGTTCCTGGGACAAGATGTGGAAAATCCAGTCCTGGAAAACAACAAGGCAGCTGGAAAAAAAAACAGCACCTGCAGCACTCCCTCCCAACATGGCCCTTGCTCCCTATGGGGAGGCAGACCCCAGCCCTCTACCTTCCTAAAGCCCTCTGGGACCATGTGTTGGGATGAGGAGAAGGAGTGTAATAGTCCAAGTTATGGCTGTTGTTATGGGGGAGGAGAAGGAACTCAGGTCTCCAGACTCTTCTCCTCTAGGCCCAGCCACCCTGTCCCCAGCTCTTGCCTGTCTCTACCGTTGGCACTTGTGGTTCCCTCTGCCTGGTATGTTCTCCCCAGCCCTGCCCGTGGACGGCTCAGTCTCCTCTTTCACGTTTCAGCTCAGATGTTACGTTTTTAGAGAAGCCCTTCCTGACACGTATCTAGAGTAGTTTCTCTCTCATCATCCTGTCTATTTCTTTCACAGCCTTTATCACACTTTGAGATGCTCTTATTGGTGTTTCTGTCTCTCTGACTAGAATGTGAGCTCCTTAAGGGCAGGAACTGTGTCTGTCTCCTGTCCACTACTATGTCTCTAGCACAATGCCTGGGGGAATACTGGTGAGAGGGAGAAAGAGAGGGAAGAGAGGGAGGGAGGGAGGAAGGGGAGAGGGAGAGATAGAGGGAAGGAAGAAGAAAGGGAGGGAGGAAGCTGGGGGAGAAAGGGGGGAAAAGAAAGAGGGAAGAGAGAAGAGAGGGAAGAAGGGAAGAGGG